ACTATTTCACCTTCTTAGGCAAGCTGGTATATAAAACTGCAGTAGTAAACATTTTCTCAGATATGTAGAACATGTTTCATTAGATATGTAACCTGGCTAGACTCACAAAAGATTCCTAGGCCATAAATCTGTAGTTTCACCTCAGAAAGTGAAGTCTTGTTGACTGTCATTGAGATTCAGATCAAATTTTCTGGAAAGAATACCTCAACTTTTGATGACGGAAAAATTTTGGCAGAAATTTCCTGGAACAAAAATGTATGTGATATATGAGATATGAGATATGAGATATGAGATATGAGATATGAGATATGAGATATGGCATATGGCATATGACATGTGACATATGACATATGACATATGACATATGACATATGTATATGTATATGTATATGTATATGTATATGTATATGTATATGTATATGTATAGTGTGAACGTTGAAAAGAGATCTCATCAAGGGTGATCAAGTACATAATACATCCTACATCCTACAAGTTCTAAATTTAATTATCCCTATTGGCGCACTTCATTCTTTATTCTCATAGCCTACTCATATTCAGCTGCCAGAATGATGTCATTCAGCAACATGTAAAAACTAAACACCCGTTTGATCTGCACTGGACTATATGCATCCCTATCATTATCTTCAGCTTTTCTTCTTCAACTTTCATCTGTTTTAATGGCAGGCAAGCACAAGCATTAGAAATACATGAAAACCCTTGAGGGAAATAATTCTGACTACTCACCATTCATGAGAGGAAAGCATCCTGTACTCATCTGAGTCTCAATTAAGTTATGCGAGAGCAATATTCAGACATGAAAAAAATTACCAATCACATATATTTTCTTCCTTTTTTTTCATTAGGTTTGGGGGTTTTTAGTTGTTTCTGTTTACTTTGTGTGAGAGCAAAACAACCTACTATATATTCTGGCAAAACAACCTGCTACCCTTGGGAAGTGCTCTCACTTTCGAGAAGAGACATGAACTAAATATGAACTGAACCAAAAGTGAGTTAAATACCTGTCTTTGGAGAGAAGTATATTTTAGTTACACAGCTTACAAATTGCCTGCAGTTTTTAATGTTTAAACAAAGACCCTTGTAGAGCCATTATGATGTGTTACCATGCATTAATATTTTATTGTATTTATTGTAAAAGTAATGTAAGATTTGTTTTGTCCCAACTATAGCTACATTTTAGGAATGCAACATTCTTGTTCAGGTGTAATATTAAAGATGTTATTGGCTGAATTTGAGAGTCTTTGATGCAAAAATTTTTACACCCCTAGACCACTCTTCATTGTCATGGGAATTTTGGAAGCAGTGACAGGACAAATGTTTCTAGGTCTTCCCTTTTGTTCCCACTCCTAGTGGGAGCAAGTGTCTTGATGCAACCCTGTGTGAGGTTATCCTATAAACATTACAGCTTAGCATATGCCAAGTTAAAAAATCCTTGCTCAGAAGGGTTTGGGCAGTGCTTTCAACTGGGTTTGATCAGTTCTTTGGGTGCTGCTGTCCAGAACAAAGGCCAGAAGTAGAGTACATGACAAAGAAAAAATTGACAACTGCTGAAAGCTCATCTCTCAAAATTATAGCCCTCTGCAGAGTTCTGTAATTGCCGTGCTGACACAGTGCTTAAAAAATGGTGACAGTGTTCCTTGCCTGCCAAGGTACAATGGTAACATAAAGTTCAGTCTTGGTGTAATGAACAAGGATGAGGCTAATTCTAAAACACTGAATAAAAATAATATTCAACACCAGTTTGCCAAAGGTATTTTCAGACTACTTACAAACACTACGTTTGTTAGTCATGATATTCTGCTGGAGCTTAAGTGATGATCATTGTGATCATCGCTTGGATTGAAGTGGAAGCCCAGTAAATTCAATGACATGAGACTGCAAAAAATTTGATTTATGTTTAAGCCACAAAACTGCCCTTTAATAAGCATTCTCATGTCATTATATTAAGGCTATGTCCGTTAGAGGAAGTAATGTTCAATACTGGTATGGAACGTGATCAGCTTCACAAAAGTTTATGTGCTTCAGAAGTTGTGTGAATCAAGAAAGGAACGAAGGGTGTTTCTTGTGTTAGGAGACTGGCCTGGAACTCAGGGATTTAGTCTTTACTTTAGATTCACTGGAGCATTTAGGATCAGCTTTTCAAAGTTGTTATATATCCACAGTGTTACTGACTGTAGCTGTAACAGTGAACATGGAAGCTCTGAAAATTAATCTTTCAAGCTCACAGGATACCACAGTACTACAAAATACTGACTACACATAGGTCACAATTTTTCTTGATTCCTCTTGCAAGTACAGTACTTCTATTAGTTTGTTTTCCTGTTGCCTTTTGTACTATCTTCACTTCTTTAACTCAGTGTATTTTCAATGCTCTTTGGACTTCAGCACTTACTACAGAGTTCAGCCTAATACCTGCAGTTTGCGGTCCTTGAGTTGTTCATACATCCTTCACTGTTTTATTATTGAATTATTAAAGTCTTTCCAGCAGAGAAAAGTAAATATTTCTTGGAAACCTCGAAATTCTCATGGGTCTTATGCCTAGTATATAAAGGGCAGATTAATTCCAAGCTATAAAAATAAACAGCTCTCTTTGTTCTTAAGAGGATTTGGATTGAGTGGAGTGGCTTTATAAGGATATGATTGCTTAGTATTGAAGTTTGGAAACAAAACAGAAAACGTATTATCCATTCATGTTTAAAAATTACCAGCTTTGGTATTTTCAACTTAGCCATTCCTTGAGCTTCTTATTAAGTCTTCCTACTTGAGGTCTGTGTACTTTACAAGTGTGGATTTTTTTTAATGAATACAGAAGAACTTCAAAATCAAACCCACCACGAGGAGCAGGAAGAGAGGCAGTGAGGGAAATTTATATATCTAACTGAAAAGCCCAGGGGGTTATACCAAAAAACATGAATACTTACAGCACAGCAGCCTCTATCCCCTTCCAAATCTTGCTACCCTCTGTGACACTGCTGTGTTTAGCAGTGACCACCCTTGTGCTGAGGAATTCTGTGATGTCTTTTTCACATGGTCTTACCAAAAAAAAAAACAACTTGCCCATTGATTTCCACAGTGTTTGGTTTTCTAAAGAAGGTTTCTGAAAGAAGTATCTTATTTCCTTTCTATAGAATACTAAAAATCCCTGATAGATTTCTGGAAGAGTAGGGTTTAACACCTGCAACTCTTGGCTGAAATTCCTCCTACCTGTTTATGTCAACACTGCATTTAGGTCAGTATAGCCCTGTCACTTCCACCCTCGATGTTGCTACATCAGATAAGTGATGGGGTGTTTTCAAATTTCAGGTAATGTTGCAGGTGCACAAAGAGAAAAGGTATGTTCAAAAAATAAACAGAGATAGGCAATAACAACAAACACATAACAAGGCAGGCATGGCCTTGGAAATTGGAATGATATTCCCCATGGGACAACTCACAGGTTTCAGGGAGTATTCAACAGGAAGTGAGGGCAACAGCCCTTAATCAAGAGCTTCTTCCAGAGCTGAGGGCTGTCATGAAGCACAAAGGTGATGGATGAAGAAAGCAGAGGGTGTGACTGAAGAAGGAAAGAGAGACTGTCTATACTTACAGGAAAAATGGAGCTTAGCAAAACTTTCATAATGAAGAATAATAACTACAATTAAGAGGCAGAAGTTAATGAGAGCTAATAAAAAAAATCAGCATTGAAATGCAGTGCAAATCTAAATATAACTGGTGGAGGTATAAGGGCTCTAGGCCACGTTGTTATTGCTAAGCAAAGCAAAATATGCTCTGGCTGAGCTTTCTTACATTTTTAACTCCCCCTATACCACTTTGCTTTGTGAAACTTGCAGGCAAATCCCATAACCTTCTCTCAGCATTCTGCCCATTCCATATAGCATGCAAAAACCTAGCCTCCTTTCATGAACTTTTTCAGTTTTATCTTCACCCTTTGCTTCAACACCATCTGATAATACACTTCCCAGCATTAGTTTCCTACATAGATAAGTGAGAGGAATAGCTGAGATAGCTGGAGTTGTTAATAGTTGTTGTCTATGGAGAAGAGAGGGTTTCAGGGAGACTTCACTATGGTCTTCGAGTACCTCAAGGTACTAGAGGTATTTAGGAAGAGGAAAACCAGCTTTTATAAAGGCAGATAGTGACAAGACAAGAGGCAGTAGTTTTAAATTGAAAGAAGGCAAGTTTAGATTAGATGTTAGGATGAATTCTTTACTGTGAGGGCTAAGCGCTGGAGCAGTATGACCAGAAAAGTTGTGGATGTCCCATCCCTGCTATTGTCCAAGACCAGGCTGGACAGGGCTTTGAGCAATCTGTTCCACTAGAAGGTATCCCTGTTCGCAGCAATGAGTTTTGTAACTAGATGATCTTTAAGCTCCCTTTGAACTCAATCCATACTTTGATTCTCTGATTCCATTAATATTTTGTCTCGAAGCAACTGCAAAGGCTGTGGTTCAATGGGTATGTGTATCAGGTATATCAGCTTAGGGCAATCCAGATTTACTTCTGCTGTCCTCCTTAGCACGTTGTGCTCATGTCAGCTTTGTCACACTACTTCAGTGGGGAATTCCCAGATGGTTGGCACATGTATATCCTTTTTAAGTGCTGGTGTGAGCAGTGTTAGGTAAAAGGTTTATGTATCTCATTAGCCTTCTTCATTGTACCAAAGCATTTGGGAGGAGAATAGGCGTATCAAAGGAGTTTGTAGCCAGGTGGGGATAGGTCTTTTTCCCCAGATAACAAGTGGCAGAATGAGAGGACAGCCTTAAGCTATGCCAATATTTTGTTTTGTTTGTTTGGGCTTTTTTGTTTGGTTGGTTTTGTGGTTTGTGGTTTTTTTGTTGTTGTTGTTTTATTTTGTTTTTTTGTTTTGTTTTGCATTGTGGGGGGGGTTTTGGTTGTTTTTTTGGGGGGGTTGTTTGTTGGGTTTTTTGGTGGGTTTTTTTTTGGTTGGTTTTTTTTTTTTTTTGTGTGTGTGTGTGTGTGTTTTATTCTTTTTTAATTTTTGGTTTTGTTTTGGGAACTGGTCTCTCCCTAGCGCAGGCTGCCCGCTGTGCCCCGCCAGGGAAACAGGCGAGGCTCCGCAGCGGCTCTCCCGGTGACGCGCAGCCCCGCTCGGGCCCGCCCGCGGCCCTGGCCCGTGACGCGCCTGGCGGGCCGGAGCGGGGCGGGCTCCGGCGGCCATGGCGGCCATGGCGGCGGCGCCCGAGTACGAGGCGGCGGAGCTGTACACGCGCTCCTTCCCCGTGGGCGCCCTGGGCCTCGGCTGGCGGCGGCTGCTGGGGCCGCCCGACCTCTCGCTGGCGGCGGCGGCGGAGGACGAGGAGGCGGACGCGGCGGTGGCGGCGGCGCTGGGCTGCGCGGCGGGCACGGCGGCCGAGCTGCGCGCCGTCTGCAGGTGGGCAAGGCCGGCGGCGCGGGCCGGGCCGCGGCTCCGGGGCCGGGTCGCGGCTCCGCTGCCGGGCGGCGCCGCTGGGCCGGGGAGGTGGCGGCTGCTGCCGCCGGATGCCGCGGCGGCGCCTCGGGAGAGGCGGAAGGTGCTCGGCCAAAAGCGCTTCATAGCAGCCCCTTCCGGGCCTGTGGCACGTGTTTGTTTCTATTTCCCGAGCAAATACTGAGTCTTATGCTGTCGGGTAGCTAGCTGCACACAGAGTCATACACTGTCAGGGGGTTGGAATGGACTTAAACCATATAGCCCGATGCCATGCCCAGGGACACATTCCACTAGACCAAATCGCTAAGACCTCTGTCCAGCCTGGCCATGAACACTGCCAGGCTTCCAGTATCCACAACTTCTCTGGACAACCTGTTCCAGTGCCTCACCACCCTCACAGTAAAAGAATTTCTTCCTAGTACCCGTTCTCAATTTGCTCCTTTCTCGTTTGTGCTGGATATTCCTGCTCCTGTAGTACAGTTCCTTATGGAGAGTTGGTCACCAACATCTTTGCAAGCCAAAAATGCTGCAAAGGCGAACAGTTTTTCTGGAGGGTAGTGCTCCAGTTGTGGGAACTTTGTTACATCCGTGAATTTGAATAAACAGTTTGGCACTTAAATTTACATGGGTAAACATTTAGCAAATGTACTGGTTAATTACTTAAAGGTACCTGAACATTGTGGTGGTTTTAGGAGGCCGCAGTTGTACAATGAAACTTATACCTTATATGAAGAAATAAGCCAGGAATCTGTTTGTATTAATAAAGAATCATAAAATCTTAAAATCATAAAATTGGAAGGGACTTTAAAGATCATCTTCCAATCCCCCTGCTGTGGGCAGGAGCACTTTTCACTAGAGCAGGTTGCTCAAAGCCCATCCAACCTGGCCTTGAACGCTGCCAGGGATGGGCATCCACAGATTCTCTGGGCAACCTGTTCCAGTGCCTCAACACCCTCACATCAGAGAACCTCTTCCTAATACTAATCTAGGCCTACACTCTTTTAGTTTGAATCTCTTAAAAACATCATTTAGAGTAGTTCAGGTAGCTGGCTGCATACCTGTTGAATGTCTCTTGGTCCTTAGCCTCCACTGACTTGTTTTTCCTGAGCTGGTGGTGAAGTCAGAGGTGTGTAAATGTTTTGTGGGTGTTAAAGCAGGAGCAAATCTAACACACCATGGCTGGAAGGCTTTCTGGTCATGTGGGTAGTGAGAATTGTCCTTCACCTGTAGAAAAAGGCCTGATTTCAGGCAGTAATTCCTGTAGAAAGCATCACAGGAATTATCTGTAGTCTGTCAGTAAGGAAGACATGTCATATTTCTGATCCTATCTGTATAGCTTTGTGCTTCACCTGTCACAGTTCTGGTGACTAGCATAAATTTTTACCATTACCGTACTTAGTAAAAACAGATCATGTTGGTTTAAGGAAAAAAAAAGTATCCTGGTGTAGCAAAAACTGTGACAATTACTCTGTAAGCTCTTACAGTGTAGATGGTCCCTGATTGCTCCTTTGCTGTGCCTTATTCTCTGTGGCTGCTGTGTTGTCTGAACCATTTGCTGTTTTCACTTGAACTCCAAGGAGTTTTTCCTTCAGTTTCTTTATTTTCCCCGACATTCCTCCTGCTTTTTTCTTCTGTTCTGCTTACTTCAGTTTACACCTGCTGCATTTCACTTGCTGTCTGCATCTGCTGGTGTTACAGAGCAATGCTGTCTGCATGAGGCTGAGTGTATTGTGAACAGTGATCATTTGGGAAAGAGAAAAAGACTGGTGATCATGAAGGAGACAGAACTGATCATCTGGCAGCCTTTTGTTGGCTTTGCAGGAGAACAAGCTAAAACTGCTCATTGTGATGTGACCTTTCCCCTATTCAGAGTAGAAATCCCAATCTGTAATCTCCATGTGCTTTTGCTTTTAAATTAAATAGCCCAAGCCTCTTGAGTCTCTCCTCAACATTTGCCACCCTCAAATCGCTACCTCTGATCACTTTCACTCACCTGCTCTGAGCTGCTCATACTCCTCTCTTGAGGAGAGACGAGAACATTGGGCTACACCAAGATCTGTTCTGTGATATCATGGGATCACATTTATTACTGGTGTAAATATAACTTTGTAAGTGTTGAAATGACCACATAATGGATATAAACACAGATTTTTCTGACTCTACTTCTAAGGAAACTTCTGACAAATTAAGTAAATTTTCTTTGGGTAGAAGAGAGATAGGAAGACATGGATACCCCTACATCTATTTTTAAAATTGTGTTGGATTAAAATAATCTTTCATGGATTCAGGATGAAGTTTTTCAATATCCATCATTAAATCTGTTTTTAGAGTAGTGACATAGTGTACATTTAAGTATTTCAGACAATGTAGATACTTCTGGTGAGGAGAAATGGTATAATGTTTAAATGCTATTTAACTCTTTGAGCACTCCAGTGCAATGTGGTTATTGCGAGGTTTTTGTTGGTTGGTTGGTTTAGGTTTGGTTTTTTTTGTGTTTGTTTTTCGTGTTTCTTTTTTTTTTTGGTTGTTGTTTGGGGTTTTTTGGGGGGATTTTTTGTTGCTGTTTGATTTGGTTTTTGGGCTTATTGTTTTTTTGGGGGGATTTTGTTTATTTGTTTTTAAATTTTTGTTTATTTGGTGGGGGTTTTGTTTATTTGTTGGTTCATTTTTGTTGTTGTTTTGCTTGTTTTTGTTTATTATTATTATTTTATTCTATTTTCTTTCTGTAATACATTTCTGCAAACAGAATGCAAGAAAAAATTTGTGTCTTCCCTCACTTGCATTGACTCAGTAAGAATGCCTTGCATATTGCACAAGTGGTATGCTGAAAATCAATACAGAGATTGCTCATGTTTTCATCAGATCTTAAACAAGTGTGAAATTGTGTCTTTATCTGGAAGATTCCAGCAGTAATTCTCTTAAATAACCAAGGTCAAAAGAGTAAAATTCTAGGTTTTTTTCAAATGCCTCATGAGTCTGTGAGCAAAGGAGTTTACCCTGGTATTCATAATTGATGCTTGAGTGACTGAAGTCCTTGAATGCTGGAGATGTTGAGTTATGTTATTCTATTTTTTCTTCTGTATGATGTGTTGCTTGCATGTATAGGGCAGGCTAAGCCTCAGATCATTGTGGGTTTTAGGTAGGTCCAGAGAGGTGAGACTTGCAGGTACCTTATTCAACTTCAGCCCTAGTTCACCTTCTTTTTTTATTAGAAGGGATAGTTGTAAATATCTCTTGGGACGTGTTATAAAGCTGCATTAAGCTAGCATTAACATCTTAAGGTATTAGTATTTAGTGTCTTGTGGTATTAGTGTCTCAAAGGTGATGAAAGTACTACCTTTAAAATATATTCAATATAAAGAGTAATATGAACGCTGGAACTGCTTATTATAAAGTATCAGGTCAAATACTAAAATATCTTTGAATTTCTAAAAGAGAAAACTTGTTGTGCTGCTAGAATATTCTGAGAAAAGTAAAGTCACAGACTTTGAAGACTTAATTGGTAGTCTGCTTCCAAGTCTACATTTCCAGAGAGTTCTCTTTGGCCTTTTTATTTCTGGTCGCCTAAAAATATCTTTGTAGGGGACATAAATTTAATCCGTGCTTGCAGGGAATAGTCTCTGTGGGGATGCAGTAGGATCCCAAGCTTGTGGCAGTCAGGAGTGAGGTGTTCCTAGTGAAAACTCTGTATTGTGCACACTTCCAAGTCTTAGGTGTCTGACAGTAACTTAGCCTTAATTTCTGGAGGATCAGCATATAATTCCTGTTTGTAAAGCCTGGCTTCCTCAGGACCATGGACCAAGTATTGTTTATGTGGTTCCACTGGCAGCAGTGGAGTTACGCAGGGGGAGTTCCAGCATGGCCTGTGTGTAAGGCCACACAGCAAAGCCTTTCAAAAATTCAGTGCATGTGATACAGTGATATATGTAATTAACTGACTGACTTTCAATACTAAAAAAGGTGCTCTGCTTTTCCTTCAGAAACTGAGAGTTTCTGACTTTTCAGGAGTGAGAAGTGGCAGTACCAGTGGTTGCAAGACTCCATGGAACTTGTCAGGGCTTCAGTGTATCCCTTCAGAATAACTAGCTTCAGTCCTCACAAGGAAAAAGAGAAAGCAGTTCTAATGTCAAATATTTTACATAGTGTCTCTTTGTAGCAGCTTTTCTGGGGATGTTAGTTTTAATTAATGTTCATGGTGTGATAGCGCAGTCAGGGATCCCAGCTAGGGCTATGGGAAGAAAGAAAAACACAGGTGTTGTTAGCAAGTTCTGACATATTGTTGGTGGGTTATGGCACAGAAGGGAAATGGGGAACTATCATCTTTGATGTGAGTGAAACTTCACAATGGTAGATAATAAACATTTTCAGATCCTGCATATAATTCCTGTGATGTTTAAAGAACTAAATACAAAGTTATTTCCTCAAAATGGTATATTTATATGAATATTATACATATTCAAGTGACTTGGACTCTTTGGTGAATGGGATCGCTGATCCACGTGCCAGGAGACTTTGGATAAATAATTTGGTCATATTGTCAGTTTTACAGAAAGGGTCAGTTGTGAGTTGATTTGTCTGTCAGGGGATATCCTTTACTTGATTATGTGGGCTTTTCATAACACACCACTATGCTGCCTGGAGAACAGGCCCATCTAAAAGGTAGAACTGTGTTCTCCAAAGTGCTGTTCTCCATCTTTCTGTTAGTTAGATTAATATTTCTCAGCTGTGTTTCAGTCTGTGTTTGACACAGGACTAACTTGGCTGTATCTGCCTGCACTTCAAGTGGGAATCTAAGGATAAGGTCCATTCTGTTTCCAGCAGGTTGTGGCTCATTACTGCAAAGTTCCTTTTAAAATGATGCTTCTGGAAGAATACCATTCAAAATATTTAAAAAAATATTTTGAGATGAAAACTGTGAAACTTAAGAAAGTTTAAAATTTTGTATGTTGCTGAATGGTAAGTAACTAAACAATAGTAAATTCATATTACTGTCAATACAGAATGACTTTATTGGCTCATCAGAGCAAAGCCATCTATTCACAATCAAAATTTTGTCTCTGACTTTTACTACTTATTGTTAGCAGGTAACAGCTGATTCCAGATTTCTATCTCTGAATTACTTTGTATTTGTATGCAGTTCCACTCCAAAGGGTTGTTCATTACTGTAGTGATATTATTGTTGACATCGGGAATGTTATAAGATTATAATGAAAAAGAAAATAATGAAATCATAAATGTTATTAAAGATAAATGGTACAGTCCAAAAGGTTTTCCTGGACTTCACCAGTGGTAATTTTGTCCCATAAAGAGATGGGTTTGCTCAAGAGTTTGCTGGGATTTAAACTGCAGGCATTGGAGTAATCTCTGCCTTTAAATGGTCTGCAAAAGCGGAGAGACAAAAGCAATAAAGTCTGATTGAAAGCAGGTTCTTTATTTTAAATATTTTTTCCTCAGACTATTTTTAAGCTGAATAAAATTCTGTTGTGATTAATGCAAAATGCTTCTGGGAAGGACTGCAGAAGGGGGGCATGTAGATATGATGATTCCTCTGAATCTGGTGTGCTGCAGTGCACAACCTGAAATGGGAACTCATAAAAGGGACCAGGTGGTGAAACCACCTCCAGGTTCCTGCCTCTCATACTTCTACAGAGACAGTGAGAAATCACTGCTGTGTCCATAGAGGATAGCTCTAGATTTAGATTAGATATCAGGTAGAAAGTTTTTACTTAGTAGAGTGGTGAGCAGTGGAATAGGTTGCCTAGAGAATTTGTGGATGCTACATTCCTAGAAGTGTTCAAGACCAGGTTGGATGTGCCCCTGAGCAACGTGGTCCAGTGAAAGGTGTCCCTGCCAATGCTGATGGGGGGGAATGGAACAAAATGATCTTTTAAAGTCTCTTCCAACCCAAACTGTTCTGTGATTCTGTGATTCTATTTGTTATTTTTTATTGTTCTAGCATTGATATGTTAATGTCTTCTGAAAAAGAAGAGGACTCAGATGTTATTCCTGAAGATAGCAGTCTGCTCACTCTTCGGTATGCTGTTACAGTGCTCTCACAATACCCTTATTTTGGGTGGGGGGAAAAATCAGAACGGAAGTTTGGCTGGCTGCTTGTTCCCTTTACAGGCAATGCTTTCTGAAACACTGTACAAAAATACCATAAGGGTGGAAACACCAGCTTATGTTAGCATAATTGATATGAGTCTTCTGAATGTTGCTTAGGAACTATTTTATTAAGATATACACAATATGCCTTCCTTATTATTGGAAAAGGATTTCTGGATGTAGGTGCTTCTGAAGTAGTGCCTAAGTTAGGAGTCTGCAGGGGCCTTCTGATAATCATGTGTGTGAGGTTCCTCCAAATAAACTTTTCTCGTACCTCTAGTAACTCGCAATCATGCTGTAACAGCCAGACTGTAAGGACTGATGCTGCATCCAGATAACATCTTTATCTGAGCCCACTCTGTTTTGTTGAGTTTTCTTTTGTTCATGGAATTTGTTGATAAACTGGTACATTCCAGAGAATAACCAGTATTTGTAAGGTTTCTATCAGTTGGCAAACTTGGCCAGTTCAGGTCTTTGCTGCGCTTTATATAGCACTAATGTAAAGAAATGTGTTTAGAATTGTAATCAGTGTTAAGCCTGATTGTTACTGAAAACACTTGTGGAGAGGTCTGGAGGATAAGTAAACTTTTCCTGGATGGTAAGGATTGGGTGTACATGCAGTGGTTAAATACATGTAATTTAGTAAGTATTCTACGTATGATATTCTTTCTTCTACAACTGATAATGAAGGTTTGTTTTTGGGTTTTCTAAAATGTCTATGCTATGGGGCTGAGAAAGAGTATTTATGGGTTGTTTCTTTCCTTGTGTTTTGCTTGAACATGAATTCTTTTTTTTTGAAATGGAAAGAATTGTTGAAACAATTTCTTCAAAGGTTGCAAAGTGTTTTGTCCTAGGACAATCTCTTCAAACAACATTTTGTAGTTTTTTGTAGTGAGTGTAAAATTGCTCACAAACAACATGTCATTTGCACATGAGGGGGAAAAAGCCTACATGCTGAAATCCACAAGCTGGCCTGTGCACTATCAGGTTTTATGAGAGTCAGAAGATGACTATTTTAAGTTAGTCTGTCCCACTAAGACAAACAGGAATCCTGCTCTTTGAAAGCTGCTCTGGTGTAGTTTGTGTCATTTAAATATATGAAATTCTTGAAATTCTACATGGAAATTGTTGAATGAAATTTTGTCTTGTGTTCCTGCCCCTCAGAATTAGAAAGAAGGCCTTAGAAAGGAGAGAAGAAAAAATTATTGTAGATCGGGCTTGCAGACAAGAAACTCTTACCTATGAGATGGTAAGTTGCCTGTCATCTTATAGGCTCTCAAGACAGTCAAAATCCAACTTCTGGTTGTTTTTTTATTTATCACTATGAAATGTACACTGAAAATGTTTGCAGATGCAAGTTTGCCAGTAACGATTAAAGATAAAGAGATTTTATAGAAAGATAGGACAGGAAGTCTGCTCTTTACTGTCTGTTAATACTGGTTGTACTTAGGGAGGAACTCTCTCGCGTTGCCACTATATTACTGCTTTTTTAAAAAAGTGCTGTGAACTTACAGCTAGACATAGAGCTAGACAAAACGTGTAATGGTTTTGCTCCTGGAGTCTAATGTTGGAAACTAAGCTTCAGTGTGTGAATGATTTTGAGCTAGTTTCAGGGCTGAGAGAAGACAACAGTAATAGTGGTGGTAAATTCCTAATTCTGAGCTTTGCAAACTGAATTTTTTCAGCCATTTTGAACTGCCAGGCACCAAGAGTGTAGTCATCAATCCCTGAAAAACCTTATTGGAATTTTTTAACTGTGCTTAATAGGTTTGGGTTTTTTTAATGATTTCTTCTTAACCACTGTAGTCATAAACAGCAAAACCTCATTTCATAAATGCTCATAGAACCATTAAAGTTAAAAGACCTTTAGGATTGTTGAACCCTACCATTATCTTAGCACTGCCAGATCCATCACTAAACTGTGTCCCTAAACACCCCATATGCACATTCTTTGAACTCTTTCAGGGACACTGAAGTGCTGGAGTCTATGGCTTTAACTGCTGCAAAAATTAGGGACATAAGTGTAGTGAGTAAGATCCTCATGTGACCATTAGACTTTTTTTCCCCTTGAGGTTTCCTGGTCTGTTGTGAGTTATCATGTTTCAGCTGTTCAGAGACCCAGGCACATTATGTAAACAACATGATGCAACTACTCTGCTGGGCTCTTAGTCTGGGGAATATCTGAGAAAATATTAGCAACAGAAACCTTCGTAAAGGGTTTCAATGAGTACTGCTGTATTCATTGCAAGAATGAGCACATGGTAATTTATTGCATTCTTTAAGTCAGAGCTGTAATTCTGTGGCTGGGACCACAATGCCTTCATACAGGAGGAGAGCAGTAAAATACATGAGTTCAAAATGTGTCACATGAATAAGGCAGGTGTGAGGCAGAAAGCACAAATATCTCTGCATCTCACAGGAGTACAAATTCCTGTTACTAAATCTGAAGAATACTCTATGCTGGTGGGAGGTGTTTGTGCAGGAGCACACTCTTGATTCATTGGAAAAGGAGGAAATGGCCACAGAAAAGTACCTTCCCTCATTTTCACAGCTGGGCTGTGTCTTAAACACGAAGCAGGTGGAAATGTAGGGATCATTTACTTCTTTTCTAAAACACAGTACTGTGGCAAGGGCAGTGATAGGTTTTGGGTTTTGATTTTGGAGAAATTGTGGCCGCCAGCTATGTCTAGCTTTCCTAATAAGAAGAAGTGTTGCACTGACTGTAATTTTCATGTATTTCATTCTGTGTATATTTTCTAGATTAGTGTTTCCCATATTAAGGATTACAATCCTCCTTTACATATGAAAACATTCAAAGAGCATTTCAACAAAGCTGAGAAACGAAGGAACATGCTTACAGTTGGTAATTGGAGCAGTTTCTCACTTTTCCACTTTGGAAAATGTAAGCTGTTTTCAACTCAGAAGGCTACATAGTCAAAAATGAGTTAGCATTTCTCAGCATTTCTCAGACTGTTGCCCAGTGTTTATTATGTGTGTGTGTATACATATATAAATATTTTTTATATCTTTAAATATATATATGTTTGCCAGTATAATATATATATGCATGTGTGTGTGTATGTTTTTCTAGGAGTCACATGCAACTGGAAAGAGGCCAGACAATCCAACAGATCTAGTTGAGGAGGGTGAACTACTTTTAACGCTGAACATCTTTTATCCTGTTATATTTCAGAAGGTTGGTATGAAATTCACTGGGTAGTATTCTTTCCTATTCAGGTAATGTGTTGCTCTCCCAAGCAGTAAAAATCAGTGAGTCTACTGATAACATGTGGTAAACTCTTCAACTCTGATAATTGCTTATGGCTTTTTCAGAATCTGGCTTTCATTCTGTTAGTGGTTTCTATAACAAAAATTTTACAATAATTACACAGTAGTTAGTTTATTTTACAGAAAACTCAAAACCTGAAAATAAATACATGAAAGCTAAAGTATTTTTTCTTGATTTGGTGTAAGTGAGCTCAGACTTTCTGTCTTTTCTGCACCTTCTGGTGGAGAATGTCACATTTGAAGAGTAGCATGTAACTCTGGTGGAGAATGTAACATTTGAAATGTAACTCATATGTAACATTTGAGTTCCTGAATAAAACTATTAAGTATCGGTCTTAGGAGAGGCTCTGGTAAGATGCTGTTCAGAGAAGCGATATGCCAGATGCTGCCAGTAATGACCTTAAGCTGTCAAATGAAGAGCAGTGCTGATGCTGACAAGTAATAATTTATCTGGAGTTTGTATTCTGTGTTCTTTGTAGCATAAAGATCACAAACCCTACCAAACAGTCCTTGTACTGGGCAGCCAGAAGCTCACTGAGCTGAGAGACTCGATTTCCTGCGTCAGTGACCTCCAGATAGGTGGTGAGTTCAGCAGTCAGCCAGATCAAGCACCAGAGCATGTCAGCAAGGTAAAACTTTCTATGTGGAGCCCTCTACCTGTATAGGAGTCTTGAAAACATAGAAAGAGAGGCAGAGTTTTGTTTTGTTGTTTTTTCTTCAGCACTAAATTCAGCTGCATTGGTTCTGCCTGTTGGTTGCACTGCAAGTAAATACTTCATAGTGGCATTACCAAGATGACTTGTTTTGTGCAATATCAAGGAAAACATCATCATTCCTACTACTAGGAAATAGAAACACAAGCAGTGAGTTTTGCGTAGATATATTCCTGTGAACTAATTTTATTTTGAGCTGTATTCTGAAACATCAGAGGTAATAGCTTAATCCCACTAATGATAATAAGCTATATCATCCCACTGTGTTTTGTTGTTTGCTACTGGATGCCAATGAAATGTAGGTATGAAGATTATTCTTCTCTCCCAAAGTTGTTACGTATTCTCTGGGTATAAGCAAAACAAGTCATCTAGTTGAAAATACTGAAATGAAATAATTTTGATTATACATCATATGACATATAATTATATGTCACATCACAGAATGGTTTACATTAAAAGAGATTTGTGGAGGTCATCTGGTCTACTCCCTCTGCTCAAGCAAGGCCCTCTTCTCAAGGCGGTTGTCCATCACCATATCCTGACGTTTTTTGCATATCTCCAATGATGGAGGTTGCAAAACCTCCTTGGACAGCCTCTGTCAGTGTTCAGTCACCTGTGTTAGTAAAGCATTTCTTGAGGTTCAGGGGGAGCTGCATGTGTTTCAGTTTGTGCTTATTGACTCTGATCCTGTCACTTGGGACTGCTAAAATGAGCCTGGCTCCATTGTCTTTGCACCCTCCTTAGAGGTATTATATATGTTAATGAGATTCCCCTACCTGAGCTTTCTCTTTAGGATTCTAACTCACAGCTCTCTCAACCACTGCTTTTAGGAGAGATGCTGCTGTCCCTTCATCTTCATGGCCCCTGTGGGACTCTTTCTCCAGTGTATCCATGTCTCCTTTCTACTCACCAGTCAAGAATTGAAGACAGGCCTTTAGGTAAGGCCTTACTAGTGTTGAGGAGAACTGAAGGATTGCCTCCCTTGACCTGGTGGTGGTATATTATCTAATTCAGCACAGGATCCCATCTGCTCCGTTGGCTGTCTTTGCTGAAAGGGCACGTTGTTGCTTCATGCTCAGTTTGGGATCTACCAGGATCCCTGGGTCCTTTTTGCCAAGCTGTTCTCCAGCTGAGTGACCCTCAGCATAGAGTGGAGCATCAGCTTGTTTATCCCCAGGGGCAAGACCTTGCACTTCTCCTTGCTCAACCTCACCAAGTTCTTGTTGGCCCATTTCTCTGGGCTGTTAATATCCTCCTGTCTGGCAACAGGATCATCTGGTGTATCAGCCACTCCTTCCAGTTTTGTGTCAGCAGCAGAGAGGGTAACGGTAGCAGAAGTGAATCAAAGCAGCTGAATGTAAAGCACCTTCCTACTACTGTGTCTTTATGCAGGTCATCTGAGAAGTCCTGTCTTTGGAAAAGCAGTGTCTGCTTTTCCTGTGTTTTGGCAGCCTAGATTTAATAGCTCAAAGAGACCTCTGGGCACAAATGAGCATCCCAGACTGGTCTGATGATGGAGAGTGCCTGGTTGTCATATGGTTTTCTCATATAGAATAAAAAATGAATCTTTATTGAGTCCTTGAAGGGTGGCTGAGGGAGAAAAGGAGGCTCAAGGGAGACATTATCACTCTCTAGAGCTATCTGAAAGGAGGGAGAAGAGGGTGTAGCCAGGTCAGGGGTCAGTTCTCCTGGGTAACAAGAGACAGGATGAAAGGAAATGGCCTCAAATTGCACCAAAGAAGGTTTAGATTGGATATTAGGAAACATTTCTTCACTGCAAGGGTGATCAGACATTATAACAGGCTAGTCATGGAAGTGGTGGAATCATCAGCCATGAAAGTGTTCAAAAATGTGTGGATGTGGCACTTGGGACTAATGGTTGGACTTGATGATCTCAGAGGTCTTTTACAACCTTGATGATTCTATTCTATGATTCTATTCCAACTGCTTTTTGGGGCCTCAGCATGCACAGTGGCTGCTTTGGAAGACAAATGCTTTCACCATGAATGGCCCCTTTCTCTTTTCCTCCAGCTTTATTGCTGAGTGCAGCATCATATGATGTGGGATGTCCTTTGGGTCAGTTTGGGTCAGCTGTCCCCGCTACATTCCCTCTCAGCCTCTCACCCAGCCCCAGCCCACTGCTCTTGGGGAGACTTGGAGAGACAGCCTTGAAGCTGTGCAAGCACTCCTCAGCAGTAGCCAAAACACTGGTGTATTGACTTCCCTTTGCCAAAAATGCAGAGCACACACAGGGGCTGCTGAGAGGAAAGCTAACTCCATACCACATTAACTCTCTGTGCATTTGATCAGAGCACAAAATACTTCTTACTGAGATGATAGAGAATTATTGAAGTCTTGTCCCCTGCACACGTGCAGGGCATGCATGCACAGCTACACCTGAGTGCCACATTCATACAGCTTTTCAACATTCCCAGGGATGGTGATTTCATCACATCCCTGAGCAGCTTATTCCAATGCCTGACCATCACCTACTGCTGGGAAATAGGGGATAAATCGTCTTTTCTTTTGCTTTGCTTCTGTATGCAGCTTTTGCTTTTTCTCATTTAACTGCCTTTATCTGAACCCATGAGCTTGCTTGTCTTTGTTTTCCCAGTCCTGCTAAGAAAGAGGAGTGAGAGAGCAGATGGATAGGTATCTGGTAGCCACCCAAAGTAAACACAGTGCATCTTGCTAATTTTTTAAAATATTATTATTTTTTAAAGTCAGTGCCTTGCAATTACTGAGATTGTGCAGTGATGCATATGTTCTTGTTCTTTGTTTTTGTAGAAGTCCATAATTTCTCTGATGGGGATGGAAATAAGAGAAGAGTATTAAAGTAACCTGTAATGGCTTGAGAACAATATCAGCAGAGTAGCTCATAGTTAGCAATCATATGCGCCTAGCTGTCACATCAGCATCTACAATCAGAGCAGAATTTTTCTTAGACACCTGTAGAATGATCTCTCTTAATATAATTTAGATACCTAAAATACTTGGATTTTTGACATGTTCTTGTTTAAGTTGTTTATTCTCTCATAACACCAATGGAGACTTCTCTCTCTGTCTCTCAGGATCTCTACAAGTCTGCCTTCTTCTATTTCGAAGGCATCTTCTATAATGATAAAAGATACCCAGAGTGCAGAGATTTGAGCAGGTATGGTATTTGTTGACTAAGGAAAACCTTAAGGAACATAAAATTGGTTTCATTTTGTTTATGACTTGTGGTGTTGCAGATACTGGGATGTCTAGAGTATTAAGCTGGAATGGACTTTTCCTGCTGTTTTTCCATGATGAATTGGTTTTTACAGAGAAGTTTAACTTTACTCACTCTACCTACTCCTTCCATTCGCTTCCCTTTTGAAAAGAGTATGAATCCATTTTTTAACCTGCAAATGCTGTTTTGCTCTAGTTGAGATCAGATTTCTGTGTAAAGTGACAGGTGCCATTTTGTACTGGGTTTTTAAGTACCTTCCCTGCTTGTGATGGGAATCAAAAGACTTGCCTGTGAGGTAGAAGATGTGCCAGAAAGACAAGAAGCTCAGCTGTGTGGCAGTAGTTTTCCTGCTCAGTCGTGAAAATATGGTGAATGCCTTAATTGTAAAGTCACCATGAGGTCTATGTGACTGATCAGAAAAGGAATTTGATATTTTACGGAAACATGGTCTTGCTGATATGCTAGTGAGATTTAGGAGATCAAAATGTTTAAAATGGTTGGTATGGAAGAACTGACTCTGTTGGACCCTGTTGTTCTGACAGACTTTGTATGAAACTTCAGGGAAATTAATACTTTACTTCCTGTCTTTCTGTCTGTGAACAATTGTCTTCACAGAAGGGCTTGCCATAGCCTACACATACATAGCTTGCAGAGTTAGATGTCTTGTGTGTAGGAGTGTGCTCAAAAGCTAAAAAGCTAAAAAGAAATTTACAGTAGCCAGTGCTGAATTTTGGAAATGTAAGTGCACTTGTCAGCTTTATGTTTCTCCTTGACAAAAAATCAAAATTTAAAAAAAAAGCGCTTTTAATACTTTAAAATGAAGTCATTGACCAAGGGGGTAAAATAACCTGCTAGTAACTTGAATTATTTGACTTAAGAAATATTGTGCTGCAAACAGTCTGACCTGGATGGGTGCCATCAGGAACATACACAACTAAACCTTCTCAGGGAGCTGCCTGGTGAGGACTGAAAGGCAGATGTTCTACAAAAGCAGTGAACAGTTCTATGGTGTTGTAGTATTGCTGTAAAGTCACCTTAAATTACTACCAAATGTTGTGAACTGTTTTGATTTCCATCATTTAACCATTCTCATTGAAGTATTTTGCATGTCCCCAAGTGATCTTTTTCTCTGTATTCCATGTTCATAGCTTTGCTGTGCTGATGGCTTTTCTGTTTTCAGAACAATTATAGAGTGGTCAGAATCTCATGACAGAGGCTATGAAAATCTTCAGTCTGTTAAGATGGAGGACTATGTATTTAATGATTTATATCTCAAAATTGGCTTTCCATACCTTTACTGTCACCAAGGGAACTGTGAACATATCGTTATAATCACAGATATAAGGTAAGTAGCTATTTTTTGGGAGTCCTTGGGAAATGAAAGTAAGCCTTCTCTGGACAAACTTCAGACATTAATGCTGAATGTTTGTTAGACTAACTTACTTGCTTTAAGATTATTCTGCTGCCTTCTGCAGAGCTTAAATTTTTCTTCCATATACATGGGAGTATCTCTGAAAAAAGGAGAGTAATTTTCCTTGCTTTTTTATTTTTAATTTGTGTACAAAGACTACTTTGCAATTAGTGTGCTGTGACTGCTGTGTAACAGGAATGGCAACCGCAGTGTCAAGATCTTTCTACATAGAGCAAATGTGTGGCAGATTTACGTACTGATTGTGGAGCACCAGGGAGCAGAATGTTGTATGCTGTGGCTGGACTCAACTGAGCAATTAGTTTGAACTTGACGCTAAGGGGCAGGAACTGATAATAGAGGAATGGAAATAGTGGGTTGAGATGGATAGGCCAGGAAGAGAAGGAGAATGTGATAGTGACCATGAGGTGGCAGCCACATCAAGAGTAGAACTATTGTGTACACTTTGCTCAGTGCATAACTAGAGAGAGCACTCCTGTGGTTGTCTGTAGTGGGTGACAGGTAATTTTCTGTTCCCAGGAGCCTGATGTATCAAAGTATTGATAATACATGGTGCTTTCCAAAAGGAGCATAACCTAGAGGAAAGCATAGATGTTGCACATAAATGATCTGAAGAGTCACCTGACAGTAGTTTGTTGGTCTGTGTAGGAGATAATAGCTTTAAAAAGACCACAGAAAGGAGATGGTCTGAAGACTTCTGTGTTACTGCACAAACTGAATTTACTTGTGACCATAAAATCCACAGATGGTGCAACTAGCAGTCTATCTCCAGATCCTCATCTGTGTTAAGAAATGTTAAGCAGAAGTCCAGTCGGAGTTTAGATGGGAATTGAAATAATATCTTAACTTCAATGTCTGTGCTTATGTTCAGATAAATTTCAGTATGGCAACATCTTTATTGTATGTGTTGTATTTATTTATTTCCCTCAAGGCTTATTCATCATGATGACTGTTTGGATAGGAATCTATATCCCTTGCTGGTCAAAAAACATTGGCTATGTACCAGAAAATGTTTTGTGTGCAAGATGTATACAGCAAGGTATGCTACAGTCTTGATGTCATTGTTGTCTTAATTCTTTCTAGGTGCTGCTGTTAACTTAAAAAAAATAGTAAAAATCAAAGCTCTGTATTTATTTCATAATAAAAATAATCTTCACTTTTCAAGCAGTTGACCTCTTTCTTACCAGGAAGAGGCTTCCTGCAGGTAGCGTTCATTTGGAATTGATTCAGGAGTTTATAAGAACTAAATGAGTAAAAGATTAATTATTTGGCTCATGCCCTTTTCCATATCTAGAGCTTGACTATCTTATCAATTGCTTTCGAAAATCCTGCTTTTGAGGGAAAATGCTCCATTTTCCTCTTTTGTAAGATGTGTTTCAACTTAATTTACCAAAATTATACTTTTGTTTAATCTAGCATCTGTGCAGGTGTAGATCTGTCTAACTCTAATATAATAAAATCTAGAGATTTTTAAAAGGCATTTAACTTGCCTCACAGGAAACTCCTAACCTCAACCTGAAAACTGTGTGCTCTGCAGCTGTTCTTGAAGGGACTCTTTGTGATTTTCTGCTCTTTAAAGAGCAGAATATGAATTTGATGATCTTTATACACTTTAGTGATGTTAATTTAGATACAAGACAAGACTTTCAATAAACAGTAGAAATTTTTCTAAAGACTAGGCTAGGCTCCATGATTTTATAGATCTGAATTATTTATTTGCAAAAACAGTGGTTGCCTGTTTTTCCCTCATGACAACTTAATGCACTCAGCCTCTGTTTGACACAGCCACTGTGTCTTCATTGTCTTGCTTGTTTGGCCTTAGACTTCCCTGGAATCAGGCAAAGAGCCAATTCCCCTTGAGATGGCAGTCCATCCTAGCATTCTGAGCAGAGCCCTGAGGATGCCTTTACAAGGCATCTGTGAAGGCATTTGGCCATAAGGGGAGGTGGAGCCAAAGGGTCAATATGGGGGAAAGATGGGATGGGGAGGGCATTACCAGAGGTGATGTAAATGCATTAAATTAAAACCAGGATTAAGCACTAAGCTTAAGTGGGGACATGCTAAACCATAGACAGCAGAGCTGCTTTGGCTGGCTGTCCAGTGTGTTCTAATCTGTGCAGATAGCATCTGTAATCACCAGAGACCTTCAGCTGTTGTGGCCTCTTGAGTGCTATCATAAATTAATTACTCAGTGACATGGCAGGCTCTCCTTGTACATGTTAACTTGTGTTCGCGTTAACTTCAGTGCTTGCTGGAGTGTGCTGCAATCCTCACCTGGTCTTGTCTGCATCATTTGGGTCCTGCTTTTAGACTCCTAGATGGTTTTGATTACTCAGAAGAGCTTGGGTCAGTACATGTCTGCTTCATTTCAGAGTTTCTTGTATTAAAGGAAAAAAAGATTTATTATTTAGGTGGCCACAGAGTGGACAGAAGATTCCTGTTATTTTTTTTTTTTAATGCGCTTTGAGGAGGTTTTGAGGTTTGAGGAGTTTCTCGGGAAGTACTGCTGGAGCTGCTGGGGTTAACAAGGAATGGGCGGGGACTTTGGAAATGAGCTGTATGCTGGGATAGGAGATATGCAATATAGGTAGAACCTTGTGTATATAAAATTATTACTGATGTTTGTTGCTGCCATCCCTAGTCCTGAGTAAACTGTTGAGATGTTTGCCGCAAGTGTGTTGCACTCATAAGAAAACACTTGTGTTTTGTAACCTGCAGGTGGGTAACCAACAGAGACAGTCTGGCACCAGAGGATCCTTGTTTCTTCTGTGATGTTTGTTTTCGGATGCTCCATTATGATGCAGAAGGCAATAAACTGGGGGAGTTTCTTGCATATCCTTATGTTGATCCTGGGATTTTCAACTGAAACTGACATGTGCCATGATTAATTCATTGAATGACATTGTTGAGTCTGTTGTTCTGGCTGTTAAAACCCACTGGACAGCATGAGGTTTGAATATACTGCTGCAGGGTTTCAGGTTAGGCATGTAATCCTCTCCCATGAGCTGGAAGGAGCCCTTTGCACTTGAAGACTGTCTGGTGTGTTTTTCTGAGTAAGTATGTATGATTTTACAGATAAGTTGTCATGCAAAAATGTAATACACTTTTACAACATTCCAGTAGTTTGGATGCTATGGATTGTAAAATGTGGATGTTTGAGAATACCTGGCAAAAGAAACTGTGATTTTGAGAAGCTCTGTGCATCCAAGGCTCTGTAAACTGTGAATGAGAACATGATCTGTATATAGCTTACCTTGAAAACAGTGAATTTGTAGGGAGGAGAACACTTTCTGAAAGAGAAGCTCAGAATATTGGTTGAACTCCTGAGTCTTTCCTACAAATGAAAGCTTGCATCTGGAGGCTTTTGCTGTCCCTGGTTTCTGACTCTGAGGACTGATTCTGTAGAGAGGAAACTCCATTTCACCATTACTGAATTGTAGCCTGCCTTTTGAATAAATTTGCCAACTATTTACAGTGTATGCAGTATTCATTGCGCACCTTTTTATTTAGTATCATTCAGTTATTGTAATGTAATTTTTTTTTTATTAAAATGGGGTGAATTTGTAGTTTGTACAAGTCTCTTGTTAAACTGAAACACTGTCAAGACAGGATATTCTTTTTCTTAAAGTCTTCTGGAATGAGTATGTTAGTCGAGATCTTTGTTTTAGGAAAGTTAAAGCTAACAGTTTTTCCTTTGAAAACTTCAGCTAGTTCTGGTTTGGGGAAGTTGGCCTGCTCTGACAATCCACATACAGAAGAGTGACAAACTGAATCCTGTTGAGGTCCTGTAGCTGCAGATTCTGCCAGTGCTGAGTTGATTATCTTAGATGTCTTGAAACAAAGGTATCTGAAGCACCTGTAGGACTTCATTTATTACTCCCATATCTTACTGCTTTCTAGTTGTGTATTAAGTCATTTGGATATAAACCCATGTGGTTTTTTAGGAACACCAAAAAAAAATAAAGGGTTTTCTGTCCTGTTTTGTAAACCAGCCAGCTGTTGGCCTATGTATTTCAATGAACCAACCACTTGTAAAAGCAGGTGGTGAGGGTTCTCTTATCCTTCAGGAATCTGCAGAAAATGAAGTGCCTTGCCCACCACAATTGTGACAAGTCCAACTGCTGGGGCTGGGCTGGTTTGTGGTGCTGTAGCAGCTGCTTTAAAGATCCTCTTTTATACAGGTTGCAACTTCAGCATTTGCCTCACAAGTTGCTACTCCTTATCTTTCCCCTATCTCCTCCTCTTTCAGCTGTCTCCCATAAATATACAGGCTTCCCAATCTGCTTCAGTATAGGATCAGGGATCATCTAGAGAGCTAGCTTGAGTTCTAAAGCACTAATCAATAGTTTTTTTGTGGGGCATTTTTTTTTCTTTCTTTAGCCGTAAAGAGAAGGGAGTGTCAAAATGTGAGTTTACTCTTTCATTAAATTAATTTGCTTCAAATATGCTGTCTCTCACACAACTCATTTATCTTCTTAATTAAAAGTTAAGATTAAATATATAAAAAAATTGGTGTCTCTGCAGATTAAGAAATTTTACTGGGTCAGTCCCATACTTCCAGTAATGAAGAGAGAAAGTAGCCACAGTCTGGGTGTGGGAGTTGAGAGTATTCAGTGCTTAACTACAAAACAGAGAAGAATCATATTAGAAGCTTGCTGTTCATATGATGTGGTCCTCCTTCATATTCAGTGATGCATCCTAAGTCATAGACTTACGTGATGAACCTAAGTCATAGGTTCTAAAGATCCCAGAAGTTGTCACAGGACAACTGATTCTGGTCTTGATTTGGTAAGTCGGAATGAGTCCTCTGAGTGAAATCCAGCATTGCATACAATGCCCATTTGCAGCTAAATCTCTACAACACCAGCTGGCTATTTGTTTTAACAGCTTATTAAATACTATGAGTGTTTCGATGAAGAAAACATACAATCAGGTTTATTACTTCATGACAAAAAATGAGAAAAAAATTATTTTTAATAATCCCCTGTCTGTGTGTTGCTATTTGAATCTGAAAAACATTAACCTGAATCTGTGGTACTTCCCAATGTCTTGTAGATTCTCTCCCTGATGAAAGTTTATGCCTTGCTGACAAGGTGATATACAACACTGTTTCTTGTATTGAGGAAGAGAAGAGTTCCCTCTGATTTTATGTTAACATGAAGTTCCAAAAGAAAACATGATTCATATAGACAGTGCTATAGCATTTCCCAGTGCTATCCAGGCACTTGTAACATTACCACAAGAGTCCCCTATGTACTTGAATGATGAACAACTCAACAGGGCTGCACAATAGTTTAACCTGTAGTTAACTCCATTCTTGAAGTAGGGATGCTGTTGTTGAAATTAACTCTGCTTTAAATTTTGTGCATAGCTGTGTTTTCTAAGAAAGAATCAGCCTTATTCCTTGTGAGACTTTTAAGTGAATGCCCAGTCACTCTTAGCTCTTATGTTTGTATCTTTCAAGAGACACAGTTTAGGGCCATTCAGGCATCTTTGAAGGTGAGATGACCCATTCTATAGTTATGTCAGACTTTATGAATTTAGATTATTTATGGTTTGTAAATGAGAAGTAAATTTAGGCAGTACAAAGCCCAAGCAGCTCTATGGACAGAGTGATTGCACCACACAATCAGGACCTTCATCTCTGCATCCAATCTCAACTCTGAAACAGTGGCAAGGTGCTCCATTATTTCTGAAACAGTTGTGACAGCTGAGTGAGCTTATCAATACTTGTGTGAAAACTAGGTGGATTTGGCAATTCAGCATCCTTGTCAAATATACAGTACCTTTTTTTTATTTTTGGTATAAGGTTTGATAAAAGGGATGGTAAAAAATAAGCAATGCTTTATGTGAGGATTGCCAGTAACATCTTTACAGAAATACTTTCAAGGGTAAAAGTGGAAGTTGTTTGAGAGTTCCTTGAGGTTTCAATAAAGTACATCTTATGACTAGCTGGAACATGGAAATCTGCAGAATCCAGCATATAGTGACAAACCTCTATTTGTAAGCTAAATGAGAATGCTGCTTATCTGATGGTGAAGCTGTACAGCCATGTCAGTCATTCCCCTTTAACATCAGTCTGTTGAGAAGTGCTGGAGATTGTCAGAAGTCACAGTCTGTGGAGGTCAATCATTGTGGCCATCTGCCAAAGACAGTTTCATACTGGAGCTGCCATGGTGATTGAACTTGCAGGTTTAACCTCAGGTTTTATCTTCAAGATCAGAAATGCAGGAGCGAGCAACCTCAAAATGTCAGAAGCCAATGTGGCAAAGCAGGAGGCCAGGTTAGCTGAGTGGGGATATTCTTTTTGAGTCTAGGCAGACCTGGTGTGTACTTGGTGAAGCAAGGACAGGGGGCATGCATGCAAGGAATACAGAGACGGTGCTCCCACTGCAGGAAGAACATTAATGTAGTCAAAGTTCAACTGGGGTTAAAGCTTTCCAGAATTGTGGGCACAATAAAAAGAGGGTGGGTTTTAAAATATCAGTAGCAAAAGGCAGTGCAGAAAAGTCATTGTCCCTCACCTACAGGATGAGGATGGTTACCTCACCAACAGGGACATAGACAAGTCAGAGATGTTAATGCTTTCTTTGCCTCTCTTCAACCTGGGTTATGGGGCATGGGGGGTCCCAGTGTCCTGAGCTGGAGGACCAGGACTGTGAGAGTGACCAACTCCTAGTGGGCCCTGGACCTGTGCAGGATCTGCTGGATCCCGTTTAAGTGTTTGGGGTTGATGGGATTCATCCAAGAGTACTCCAAATAGCTGTCTGATGTCACTGCAAGGTCTCTCAATGATTTTTGAATTATTTTGGGAATTTGGACAGGTCCAGTCAACTGAAATCTGGCTAACATTGTTCCAATTTTCAGGAATGGCAAGAAGGATGACCCTGAAAACTACAAACCTGTCAGTCTCGTTTCAGTGACTGGTAAAATTGTGGAGATTATTCTGTGACTTCCTGAAAACACCTGAAGGACAATGCAGGTTTCAGTCAGAACGAACCAGCACAGCTTCATGACGGGAAAGTCCTGCTTATCAAACCTAATTTCCTTTTATGACAAGGTAACATACCTAGTTAATCAAGGGGAGCTAGAACATATAATCTTTTAGGATTTCAGTAAAGCTTTCAATACTGTCTTTCACAGTATCCTCCTGGAAAAGAATATCCTGTGTACAACACAGTAAATGCCTCATGAAATGGGTGAGCAACTGGCTCATGTGTTGGGCACAGGGGATTTCAGTGAATGGGGTAACAGCAGACTGGTAACCGGTCACTGCTGGGGTTCCAAAGGGCTCTATCCTTGACCCTGTGCTCTTCATCCTCTTTATTAACGACCCAGATGCAGGACTTGAAGGATACTGAGTGAGTTTGCCAATGGTATTAAACTGGGAGAAGCTGTTGACTCCCTCAAGGGCAGGGAGGCCCTGCAGAGACCATAAAGTGGGAAGGTTGGGCAATCACCAACGATATGACGTTCAACAACAGAAAGTGCCAAATTCTGAGATGCACCAGGGATAGGGCAACCCTGGATGTATGGACAGACTGGGAATGAGATGCTGGAAAGCAGTGCCACAGAAAAGGACCTGGGGGTCCTGGTTGAACATGGTCAGCAGTGCCCTGGCGGCCAGGAGGGCCAGCCCCGGCCCTGGGGGACATCAGGCACAGCTTCACCAGGTGAGGGAGGGGATTGTCCTGCTCGGAGCTGGGGCAGCCTCACCTCAAGTGCTAGGGGCTGGTTTGGGCACCACAGTAAAGGACATGAAACTGTTACAGTGTCCAGAGGAGGGCAATGAGGATGGTGAAGAGCCTTGAGGGGAAGCTCTGTGAGGAGTGGCTGAGATCTCTTGGTCTCTTCAGCCTAGATGAGACTGAACCAAGACCTCATCACAGTCTACAATGTACTCAAAAGGGGAAGAAGAAGGGTGCAGGCACAGATCTCTGTGATCAGTGACAGGAGCTGAGGGAATGGCCTGAAGCTGTGTCAGGGGAGGTTTAGGTGGGATATTCAGAAAAGGTTCTTCACCCAGAGGGTGGTTGGCCACTGAAACAGCTCCCTGGGGAAGTGGTCACAGCACCAGCCCGACCGAGTTCAGAAGTGTTTGGACAATGCTTTCAGGCATATGGTGTGTCTTGTGCAAGGCCAGGAGTTGGGACTTTGAAGATCCTTGTGGGTTCCCTTCAACTCAGCATGTTCTATGTGTATTCTCAGGATTTTCAAACTCTACTTTTTAACCTGGCTGTCCTCTGTCAAATACCACATACAAGTTGTTACAGTTTTGGGCAAAGTCTGTGTTTCAAGAAACATGCTTCAGAGATTTGTACTTCTTCTATTCCCTTTCATGCCTCCAGGAATTAAATCACTTTACCAGTGTTTCTGTTAAAATTCTAGTTAGGGATCCCCAAGTTAATGCCAGAGCAGTAAAATCAAAAGAGTACTAAAACCAGACTCATGTTTTTCCTATGAATGGTTC